AAAAAAAAAAAAAAATGGGAAAGTTGCGAAAGGCAGCTTTCCGTTGGAGTGCTTCTTGATTTATGGACCTCTGCTTTACTCAATTTATTAAATAAGAGCTGAAGCAATGATTGCCCTCCCACCCCCAACCGAAGTCACAGAAACATATTACCTGTTTGAAAGAACAATTCTACTAGTTAGTTACAAAATTTAATTGTAAGGATTAAGCAGTGGTTATTGGTCAAACCAATCCACATTAATAGCTTTGAAGTGTGCAGATGCAATTTTTAAATAAAGGTGACAAATATTTATCAGATTCTTCTAACACTGTTCAGGATCTAAATAAACATGATTCTGGACATAGTTCAATATAGAAGGCCAAGAGAATGATAGTGCAATTATCAATAATTAAACCAAAGGCATAATTTTCTAAATCACTTTTAAACAGAATGAATTCTAGCTTTTAATTAAAAGTCTAAATCTATATAAAACTCAAAGCAATATAATTATTTTTCTACCTGAGATCAGAACAATTTTATTTTTTGCTATCTAAACATAATTCTTGGTATTGAGGTAAATCTGAATTCATCTCATAAACTTTGTCAAACTTTTCCAAAAAATTTTAAGCCCTGCTTTAGAAAGAAATTCTCATGTTACACATACATATTTACATATTTTTTCTGCAAAGAGTAACAACAAATTTACGAGGTTAATAGGCTTGTGATGTGACCACGATACTACTAATAATATGAAAATAAAAATCGTTCATTTATACACAGTATTCCTGTACGGTGCAATATGATATGGGATCATAGAATCTATGTACATATATGAATCACCAACAAGAGTTCAGAAATTAAGCTCACTTTAAGAAAACTCATTCTACTCTTTTTTGGAGCAGAGGTTGCAAAGTTGTGATGTATAACAAAAATATTGTGTTTAAAAGCTCCAAAACCAAGTATTAGCCTAAACTGACAATAACTATAACTTAAAAACTAAACCCTACTAGATCTTTACTGTGGCTATGCAACTTTTTGTTTTGTGGCCTGCAGGTTTTACTGAGATAACAACCTCTTATCTCTTGTTTCTCCTTCTTGCACTCCCCCACCCTTGCCCCTAGCTTCCCTTTGCACGGCTGCGATGAAAAACAACACTATGTACGATGTATGAAAACTAATCTAAAAGTATGAACTGAGCAGGAAAATACTAGAAGGAAGGCTGAGCAGCAGTCTACCCTCAAGGGAAAAAGAAAACAAAAAAATAAGGGGGCTGTTACTCCTTGCCCTTCTTCCACGTTATCTCCTGAGTGTAGAACCAAAACTTCAAACTCTGAAAAGGCAATGACTTTGAAGGAGAAGCTGAGGAAGTGAATAAATGATAAAAAAGGACAGCAGTAGCTTTAGCGGTCAATGTGTTTCTTTGCTCTGGCATTGGCATTGTCAATACGATCTTTGTTGCTGTCAGCCTAAAAAAGAAAAAAAGATATCAGCATTACTTCACAAGGTAAATTGCTCTAATAAAAGTTAAATTTCATACACTTGGAGTAATCGACACATTGAGAAAATTCAGGAGTCAAAGTCACATTACAAAACTCATTTTGGGCAAGAACTGACAGAATATCAAATTCATTTGGAAAAACTTGAGTGTATAAACATGACTAATGAGTAACAGAACTTGCCAGTATTTCGTAAATTCTGTAACATTTTTTAACAGTTTAACATGTCTGAAACTGGGATGCAGCTTATAGTTAATGGCATTTTAGATGCAATAAAATATAAGAATGCTCTTCTCTGCTACAGATCTGGACCTAGTGGGAGTCCCCTGAACTGAATCATAAAATCCCATCTGGAGCTACCCTAGGTCTAAGCCAGAGAGACTGAAATAACCTTCCCCAATATTGTTGAAACAGATGTATTACCATCTACATCAATATCTGAATTAAAATGATAGGCCTAAACCCACACAACAGCATTGAAAGCATCTTATTAACCATCATTTGCCTCAATGAAATCCATTACAAATGATTCAACAGAGAGCCAAGCTAAAAAACTCACCCCATCCTTCAAAGTACACTGAGATTTTAATGAAGTAACAATAAATAAGAATGGCTTTTAGATGAGACACAACCAAACAATGAACACAATTTCACTTTAAGTGTCTTATATCATGTGAAGTAAAAAAACAGCAATCACACTTTTTTGTTACTCACAGGGCTCTATTTTGTGTGTCCACCCCAAAAGAACCATTCTGCAGAACTAATTTTCATCTACTAACTAATGAGATGCGGATTCAGGAACTCATTAATTTGTTATTAACAAAACCCCAAAAGCTAACTCGCTTATTCAGGGAGGAAAAAAAAGGCAGCCCATACACAGGTTAGAGGAGATTCTAAGCTTCATGTGTGAAATTTTAAAAACCCCACCTCATTCCAACGTCTTGGTTTCAAAATGAACCAACTGCCAGGAGCAAGAGATAGGAGGACTTGGCTATTTTTTCTCAGTGTGTTAGAACTGTTGCCTCATCAAAACTGTAAGACCTGTGAGGACAGGATCTTATCCTATTGTTCTCCTCCAAAGTATCTAGCACAGATGTCCATTACTAAAACACTGTACTGGATGTCTCATTTTCCTGTGGCACTAAGAAGCTTTTACCTTTTCTGTGATCTTCTCTATTTGTCGATTTTGAGCATCAATCTCGTTGCCCATGTCCAGGGCCATGTTTTTTAGATGTCCCAGGATACTGCCCACTTGAGTCAGGTTCTCTTCCATTTCATCTTCTCTGGCATCATTAGTTATACTATCACAAAAAGATAGTTAATTCAGTACTTTTTGGTGAATTATATAAATAGACTAAGTCTAGATTTAGTTTTCATAAAAATATGTAACCAAAACGACTCTCAGCAAGCATTAGACCCAAGGGAATGTAGGTTACTATTCTTTTCTTTTCTTTATTTTTTTGTGAGGAAGATCGGCCCTGAGCTAACATCTGCCAATCCTCCTCTTTTTGCTGAGGAAGATTGGCCCTGGGCTAACATCCATGCCCATCTTCCTCCACTTTATATGGGACGCCACCACAGCATGGCTTGCCAAGCAGTGCGTTGGTGTGTGCCTGGGATCCGAACTGGCGAACCCCGGGCTGCCGCAGCACAGCGCGTGCACTCAACTGCTTGTGCCACCGGGCTGGCCCCTAGGTTACTATTCTTGGAAAACATTCTACAGTAAAAATTGCAAGACTGATCAAATAGAACATAATGTCTAAAAGCCACGTGAGAGAAGATTAAGAAACAACTCTAGAACAGTGGTCCTCAAAAAGTGTGATTCCCAGCATCACCTGGGAACTTGTTAGACACGAAAACATGCTAATTCTCACACTTCACTCCAGATCTCCTGAATCAGAGACTGAAAATAGATTGCAGCAATCTGTGTTTTAATAAACCTGCCAGGAGATTCTGATGCACGCTTAAGTCTAAAGAACCCTACTCTAAAAGAGAGGTCACAAAACTCTGGCCCAAAGGCCAAATCTGGCCTGCCACCTGATTTTGTAAATAAGGTTTTATTCGAACACAGCCATGTTCATTTGTTTACATATTGTTTATGGCTGCTTTCACCCTATAACAACAAAGTTGATTAGCTGTGAAAGAGACTGTATGGCCTGCAAAGTCTGAAATATTTATTATCTGACCCTTTACAGATATTCTTACAGGGATCTGGCCAACCTGCTGTAGATGATACATTTTAAAACACAGTTTCCTACTTACAGAAGTACAATATGGTTACTTCAGTAATTTGAAAAGTTAATCCATCATTGAAGGTAAACAACCACAGTCAACAGTCTGTCAGAAGGCAGATTTTTAAATGCATTTTTCAAATGGAATAAATGCTATTTCCGTTTTTTTGTGAGTAAGATTAGCCCTGAGCTAACATCTGTTGCCAATCCTCCTCTTTTTTGCTGAGGAAGATTGGCCCTGGGCTAACATCCGTGCCCATCTTCCTCTACTTTATATGGGATGCTGCCACAGCATGGCTTGATGATTGGTGCCAACGTCTGTGCCTGGGATCCCAACCTACGAACCCCGGGCCCCTGAAGTGGAGCAGGCGAACTCAACCACTATGCCACCAGGCCAGCCCTACGAATGCTATTTCTAATTGATGAGTTAGGGTTCATGTATAACTACACCCACCCTTCTGAGTGAGCCATTCATTTAGGAAAGAGGTAAAAATATTGGGAGGAGCTGGCATACCGTTTAATGTATCCGCCGCTGGCTGCTCCTGTGGTTGCTTGCTGAGGCTGACCATTTGTCACTCGCCCTGGCTGCTTAGATACAACGTTGCTAGGAGAGTTGTCTCCACCATCTCCCCATGTTGCCTTATAGGCCTTACTAGACTCAAAGTTCTTTGTCCTATATAAGAGTCAGGAGTTCAAGAAAATACCAAGAAGCAGGAGAGAGAGAGTTGTAATTATTAGTGCTTGTTACCTTGAGGATGACCCTAGCTCCCTTAGTATAAAAGCTACATATAGCTAGATTTAGATCATCTATCCTATGATCTATCACAATATGGCATAGGAAAAAGATGAACTGTGTAAGCCCAATGACATTAAAAATTTTTTAAAAAGATTAAAATACTTCCACCAAATCTTCACTAAGCAGTTAGTAAGTAGCAAAATGCAATTATTTCATTTTTCAGGTTCCCTCAGCCTCTGACACTATCCAGAAAAGAGGTTAACAGATGCTAGGAAAAACTATTCCTTAGGAAAGGTATTCTGGGATGACTTAAGAGGTTCCTTGGAGGCATCTCAGAGGTTAAGGAGGGACGGAAGAAGAAGAAGCCTGAGTGGGCAATACATAGACCCCAGCTGCCCACTTACTTGAACCAGAGTAGTTCTAGCTGATCAGATTTTTTTTTTTTTTGTGAGGAAGATCAGCCCTGAGCTAACATCCATGCCAATCCTCTTTTTGCTGAGGAAAACTGGCCCTGAGCTAACATCCGTGCCTGCCTTTCTTTACTTTATATGGGACGCCGCCACAGCATGGCCTGACAAGTGGTGCATTGGTATGTGCCCGGGATCCAAACCTGGGTCGCCAGCAGCGGAACGCACGCACTTAACACACTACGCCACGGGGTCGGCTCCCTGATCAGATTTTTAAAGTCAGCATTTTGCATTAGGGGGCCCGTCCCGTGGCTTAGCGGTTAAGTGCGCGCGCTCCGCTACTGGCGGCCCGGGTTCGGATCCTCAGTTCGCACCGACGCGCGGCATGTCCGGCCATGCTGAGGCGGCATCCCACATACGGCAACTAGAAGGATGTGCAACTATGACATACAACTATCTACTGGGGCTTTGGGGAGAAAAAGGGAAAAAAAAAGAGGCGGATTGGCATGGATGTTAGCTCAGGGCTGATCTTCCTCACAACAACAAAAAAAAGAAAAGAATTTTGCATTAAATTTTTAAAAAGAGTTTCTTACGAAAAACAAACATCATGAAGGAAAGGCATGAATTACTTCCAAATTGAACAGCCAATGAGTAACTACCTTGACCACACTGCTGCCAGTTACAAATCCTTTGGTTTAGGGGTTTTTCATTTAAGAGTTTACTTTTCCACCTCTTAAAAAAATGATCTTAAATCCAGGCCTCTCAAAAATAAAAGCACATGCTTTAGATGTAACTGATAAAGCCAAAAATCAGCCAAAGCCAGAATTTTGTCATGGGATTTACTACTCAAATTGATATAAATGGCAAGAAAAAGAGCCTCGTAAAGTGACTTTTAAATAGCTACTACGGAAAAATAACACAAAACTTTTTTACTGGATTATTTGGCTAGGTAACATTTTCACTCATACAATTTTAGTTTTTTTCTATAAACAAAAATAAAGTAGTGTATGGTTACAATATTGGTTTCTGATTTATCCCACATAATACGTTAGTGAGGAAGTTTTGAAATTGCAAAAGCAGAGGAGAGATTTTATGAAAACAGTGACTCTTTTCTTAATAGACATATGAGGAATCATTTTTGGCAAACCACGAATTGGATCTTAGACCTTAATCATAAATGCTACAGAAAGGGTACTACTACTTTTTTGTAGAGGCACTGAAAAGGTAAACCAATCCACGAACACTGAAGAGCTAGTTCTCAAAGTGCCTTTTTTGGTTCCACTTTAAGTTCTCACAATTAATTTCCCATTTATGCTATTATGTTTTATTAATTAATTAACCTATTTATTAATAAGCCATGTTAAATCTTTCCTGGAACCAGGTGGGATATACATTTTTTAAATAAATATTTACAGGTAATTATCTGTTAGTTTGTTGAAACCCATTTACACATATCCTTTGTTAATACGATAGGTCTCAGGCAAAATTCTAAAGCAGAGTAATAGCTAGTAAACAAAATAAACAACATATTAGCTTATTGGAAAGTCAATAAGTAGAAGAAGTAATAGAAGTAATGTAAGATAAGTGGGGCTTTTATCAGGATGTCAGATTGTAGAACAGGTCAAAGAGTGAGGCCTGGAATTCAAAAGTCACTAACTCCTAAGACACTACGTTTTTGAGAGTCTGAGCACATAAAGAGCAGACTGGGAGAGGACTTGTGGGCTCTTGGTCTATCAAGGGATATATACATGCTCCAACCTCCTTCTCAACCTTAAGAAATGATATTTGAAATTCTTTGTACTTTTGAGAATTCTTCCTTCCACAATTAGATATAAGGGGTATAAGATGCAAACAAATTGTTTTAACATAATATTGTGAATGAGGTTCAATTAAAGCATAGTCTACAAACAAAGAATCAGACTGGTTATCAAATCCTTCTCCCTTGAAGAGGATTGGATCCTTGAAGATGTTCTTCCAACATCAAGGGAAGAAGGTATAAAAAGCCGACTTAGGTTTTTTTTTTTTTTATAGCTTTGCATTTGTCATGTTTACTTTCAAATGGGTTGGGAAAAAAACTGCACTTCTTTTTCACACAGTTATGACATGTTCTGCTTGTTCATGAAGAAGTGATTTTTAAATGCTATTGATTTCCTTTCTTCATCCTCACGATAGTTCCATGTCTCCTTCAGCACCTCCACTCAAGGTAATGCCTTTTGCTTGCTCAAGATCCACTTGCCATTACCCTGGAGCTTCTCCCACAAAGTTGGAACGTCCTTTAAAGTTACCTTTTTTTAAGGGCATTGTCAAGTAGCTGCCTATCTAATAAAAATAATAATGGTTTTAATCTAATCTAACCATAAAGAGTCTTAAAGGTAGTATTTCCCAAACTTGACTGAGCATAAGAGCAACCTGGATGTTTTTAAACACACAGATGCATAGGTTACACTCTGAAGATTCTGCCTCAGTATGAATGGGGAATCTTTTGTTGTTGTTATTCTTTTATTTAAATTCAATAGGTCATTTAGCTACCCAGCAGGGAAGAGAAACACTGTTCTAAGGGACACATATAATGAGGGAAAATCTTATTTTAAAAAAAAGTACATATTAGGTATGGTAACATTTTAAATTTATATCCCACCTTGTTCCAAATGGCATTTAAGATGACTAGATTGGCAATTAATTCCTCAATTTGGTAGTGGCCTAAATCATGAGAAATCCAAATCATTAGAAGCAACACTTTAATAGAGAAAATCTTGATTCTAGAGCCGGAAAGGAGCAGGGAAACTTAACAGAAGATAGGATGCTGAAATCCAAGTCCTATGGAGAGAGATAGATTTAGCCCGAATTCCCTTACCTTTGATCAGAACTGGAATACAGCAGTTCTCTACAAAGAACAACCTATTTAAAACTTCCTAGGAAACTTCAGGGGTGTTTTTATTGTTATAATCTTAAACGTTATTTAGCAAAAACTTAGTAATCAGAGCCATTAGTCAAAGGGTGGTATTACAAATTAAGATCCCTTTGTTAAGTCCATCTTTTGGCAGACAGCACCCATTAGGAACAAATTCACTTTACATTACACACCACAGCACAGTTTTTAAGACAATTTCCACCACTCACAAAATCCATGCACATGCAGAGAAAAGCCATTTGAAGCATCACCTTTAGATAGCAGGTTAACAGCCCAAACTGCGCCAACAAGACTGCATCTTAAAGTTCCCTTTGACCAGTTACTGAGCCCGGCTTCTGATGTTAAATCTTCATTTTTAGTAAGCAGATTAGAAAGGAAGAGATTAGGTGAGAGAATGAAATGCAGAAAATAGTGAATGCCAGTCAAACAGAACAGAAGCAGGTTTATGAGTTTTCAAAACATAACGCATTTAAATTCCTCCCTGGTTTCACAGCAACAACCAACATCTGAGAATCTAGATAAAAAGAAAAACAAGACTATTTAAACCAGAGTATACTTTATTTTTCCTAAGAATGTCTGGGTGATAATTTTCTTTCATAAAACTATGAAAATTAATATGAAGAGAAGGCAAATACTAACGGAGAGGTTGTGAAACTTCTTCACTCTTTCCTTGGTGATTACAGATTTCTCTTAATTACTTCTATTTTAGTTTTTATTTACATTTTAATTTAAAAAAATATTTTTACATGTCTAACCCTCCCATCAACCAACAAGTTTCTCAAGGATATACAATGAACAAGTATTTACTGAGCACTTACTGTGTATCAGCTATCATGTGAGGCAAAAAAAATGACAAATAAAATAGCACCAGAGCTATGCTTTACTCATCTTTCTATCTCCAATGACTAAGATGGAGGAAGCACTCAACTGTTGACTAAAATATAATTCAATATTTATTTTAGGGCCGGCCCTGTGGCTTGGTGGTTAAGTGCGCGCGCTGCGATGCTGGTGGCCCGGGTTCGGATCCCGGGTGCGCATCGAGGCACCAC